TGAAGGACGTCAGCTGGCGTTTCTGAGAGGGAAGCGAGCGAGCGAGCGAGCGTGCCTGCGTCCTCATCTTTGAAACAAGGGATAGTGTGTGTGGAGCGTTTCTGAGAGTGTTGTGTGTGAGACAGAGAGAGGGAACTGCTGTGTGTGTGTGTGTGTGTGTGTGTGCGCATGGGTGTGTTGAGGTGTATTTCTCAGAGGTATGCAGGTGACAGAGAGGGTCTTGTGTGGTAAGTAGGACGTGTTGAGATGTGTGTGTGTGTGTGTGTGTGTGTGTGTGTGTGTGTGTGTGTGTCCGTCCACCAGTTAAGAACTATGTTCTTGTCACCCACCTGAAGACCCACATGTGGGACTCCCGTCCATTAGAACCTGGGCCTCAACTGTCCTACCGCCAGCGTAGCATCACAAGCCATACCTGTTCCCGTTTGTCCCAACTTGCCTTGGGCCACTAGAGCCTGTCTGTGGTGAAGGGTGGATCCCCCCACCCTCCCTGGAGGGCCCTCAGCTCCTCGGGCCCCAAGAGTTGACCTAGGGGACCCCATCCTAGCCTCCCCCCAACCTAGAGCTTCCACTGCTTCCAGCATCCTAGCCCCTCACCCCACCCCACCCCCAGTTGTCTGACTGGTTCCCAAAAAAACACCCTGAGAATGAGCTCATGGGGAGGCTGCCGCCTCCACATGCCCCGCCCCACACGCCCAGTGGGAAGGGTGCCTCCTGTCCCGCTCCCACGGCCCCAACATCTGGGTCAGGGTCTCCAGTGTCTTTGGGGTGAGGAGTGCTGGCCCACTGAGTGGAGGCCAAGCAGGGGGAGCCTCCAGATAGCAGCTGGGCCCTTATTGTCACTGAGTGGGTGGGGAGTGGCCCTCAGGCAAAGGTGGATCTGCCTGTTTCCCGATGAGAGCTGGCCAGGAGGGGGAGGGCACAGAGGCAGAGGGATGGCCAGAACAGGGAAGGTTTTGGGGGCAAGGGTTCTACAGGTGGGATGGGCGTGGAGCCAGGGGCCCTGATGCCTGTCCCCATCCTGGCCACCCCAGGAGCAGCCATGTCGGTGCAGGTGGTGTCCCCGTGCGATACAGGGCTGGGCCCTGAGCGTCTGAACCCGGAGGAGCTGGTGCGGCAGACACGGCAGGTGGTGAGGGGGCTGGAAGCGCTGCGGGCTGAGCACCATGGCCTGGCCGGGCGCCTGGCAGAGTCTCTGGCGGGACAGGTTCCGGCGGCCGGCTCGGATTTGCTGGAGGAAAAACACCAGGCGGTCAGTCACTCACTGGAGGCCATCGAGCTGGGGCTGGGTGAGGCACAGGTATGGGCCAGAGGGACTGGCACTGGGGAGGGGCAGGGCTGGGAGGTGCCAAGCCACCGTGGGGGTACTTGGGCAGCTTTGCAGGGGAATGGAGCATCCTAAGGAGCCTGGTGGCATAGAGGTTAAGCATTGGGCTGCTGCCCTCCAGGTGAGCGGTTCGAACCCCACCAACTACTCCCATAAAGGGTGCTCAGTGAGTCAGAAACAACTTGAGAGTAGGGAGTTTATGCCTGACTCAGGGAGAAGTTGTGTTAGTCTGGGTAGACCAGAGGAAACAAATCCAGAGACACTCATATGTGGGTGTGTAAGAGGGAACTTTATATCAAAGATGCCTCCAAATGAGGTCATCAAGCTGCGACCTGCTTGACCCAGGTGAGACTCCATCCCTTCAAAAGCTGACAGATGATCTAACTGGGGTCTTCTGGTGGCCCATTTGGTTTGCACTCAGTTACAATCTAAGGTTGGTGGCTCAAAACCGCCACCCAGTGGTACTGCCAAAGCAGAGCCTGGTGAACTGCTGTCCCAGGGATTCCCAAGAGACCCCACTGCCATTGAGCCAATTCTGACTCACAGCGACCCCACAGGACAGAGCAGACCAACCTGCCCCTGTGGGTTTCTGAGCCTGTAATTTTTAAACTTCTTAAAAAATTCATT